GGTGGTGGTGTTTGTTCAGAAGGAAAACTCATGTGAAAAAGAAATCTCTAAAATGTGTCACAGCTATTTCATCTGGGCAGTACTGGTTCAACTGCAGCACTGGGCCAACAATTCCAGTCACAACATGTCTTTCTGTTGCTGTTGTTGTTCATTTACTTTTTCTTTTAAGTCTACCAAGCACCAGAACCTTTTTTTTTACAAAAACAAAACCTAATAAAATCATGTAAGCATGATTTTCAGATTCAACCAAGCTGCTGTTGGCAGAAAGTTCAAAAAAGTATCAAGATAAAGATGAATGTACATCACTTGTAGATGCACAGTTTAAGAGCTGGAGTGACTTTTCTGATAAGAAAACCCTTACATCAGGGGAATCCTCAGCAGACTTGACAAATTTTCCTCTATGCCAGAAGTGCTGAATAGAATTGTAGACAGATAATATTCTCTTGGAGAAAGCATGGAGCTGGGCAACAACGTTAGAAAGAGCTGAATTACAGATGCACCCTGATATGTAAAACACAAGAAGGCTATTTAGATTTTGGCTGTATGCAAGAGCTACCTCTAATCTCAGACATTCAAGTTAGAACCTGAGTGTTGATGTAATAATGCTGATTTTTGTGATCACAAATTATATTAGTTCATTTAACTCTATCATGACTACTCTTCATCTGCAAATACATAAATGATGTCTTTTTTGACCTACACAGTATTCAAATTAGCTGCAAGTTTAAGGCATCATCAGGGAAATACAATTGATGCATATATTTAATTATGTTATTGCTCCTTTTAGTTACTAGAGAAGTAATATATAACTGTAACCAGAAGAGTGGTTAGCAAGTATGAAAAATAAGTTGCAAACTAGGGAAAAAAGAGCAAATGAGGAAGCTGGTCAGAACCATGGTGTCCAGAAACCGTATGGAATAAGTTATGAGGGAAAGCTATTGCACAATGAACATAAACGATTTCAAGAGACACCTGAATTGTTTCCGAAGGAAGAGACAGAGGGAAGTTGTTAAAAAGAAAAGAAAAATAAAGTGGAAAAAGGACAATTAAAGAAGAAATGTGTTGGACAGATGGTCTTATTCTGTTCCTAGAATGTCTTCATTTCTTAAAATTGAAAATTAAAGTGAAAATATAATACTATATTTGCCCAGTAGCCTGAATTAAAAAATAGAATCTCAGCCCTGATTTTAATTTCCTTGAATTTATCATTCCGTGACATACCCAAGTTTGTCTTTGGAATACATGAATATGTATCTTGTTTCACACTTCTCAATGTAAGATGGGCTGCCCCTTCAGGCACTACATTTATGCCCAAATTTATCTCACCTAACTTCCCTTAGGGAAGTGTAGGCTCCTTGGCCCACCACTGCAGAAAACCCAGACCACCCTTGAGCTCCAACCATATCTAAACCACCCTCGGAGGGTGCCTATTACTGTCGGTGAGGTGTAAGAAGCCACATCAGGAGATAGAGAATGAGCCCATACAGAACGAGTAGAGTTCAAGGCTATGTCCCATCTTGTCCTCCCAAAAACACATGAAGGTAGGCAAGACAAAAGAGTGAAATGAAACTTTTCTCTTACATCCTGCAAGAGTTGTGGCTTCAAGCACAAATAAGTGCATTGGTACCACCACAAATGTGTTGGACAATCAGTCAGGCAACAAAAAGTTCCATCTTTTTCTTCCCCCATGTGCTGTCACCTGCCACCCATAGTAGTTTTCCCAAAAACTGTTTTATTTAAAAGCCATTTCAGAAGACTTTAAATTTCTGGTTGTTTACAATAAATGGTAACAAACAAGGCCTGCTTTGGCTCAGGTGTCTTTTTACATAAGTTGTAGCCACATGGTATGCAGCAATGATCATTGCATGCATATATGAGCATGTGACTATGTGTGTCCAGATGCTTTCCGCTTTAAGAAGAATTTGCAACTGAAAAGGAAAATAATAAGTTTAACCAGTTTGGAGGTTTTTTTATGTAATGTTCTTCAATGAGTGTTAAACAGCAATAAATCACCTGTCCCTTCTACAAAAGAGACCATTTTGCATTGGGAAGATCTCAATCATTTCCTGTATCCGTCAGCTTTTTGATTTAGGTTAGTTAAAGGTGGGTAGAGAGTATTCTCCCTCTCCTTCCACTGATTTTCCTTCTTGTATCAACAGCACCTTAAAATTTTATGGGCAGATTGCTGGTTACAGGCCTGCTCTAAGGATGGCTGCTTCTCCATGCTAGCTGCAGAGCTGCTGTACCAACTAGAACAACCTCCGACAATACTTGAGAGGCTCCTTTTTGCATTCTTACAGTCCCAGAGAATGCAAGAGCTTGAATGCCATATCCTCATCCAAAAAATGCATTCTGCTCCATATATGAAAGGGAGAGGAGAATTGCCACGTGTGTCCTTGTCTAAGACCAGAAGAGCACAAACCAGCTTCAGCAGAGACTCTTAAATTACAGTCTCAGACTTTCTGAGATTTTATCTTTGTAAGTTTTGAGAACTCCCACCTTGAGAATAATAAGGACTAAGAATGAGATTTTAGAACTATACCACAAAATAGTAGTTACGCCGAAACAAGAGGTTGCTTGGGTGCATGTTTAGCGACTGCATTTTTCATGCAGCTTCCCTCATTGTTGGTGGGAATTCGATAAGCCACTGCAAAAAGAAATGAATGAATGATTTCATTTCAAAGGCATCTTACCAGCGGGCTACCATCAGTCCAGCGGAAATCACGCTCGAACATCTTGTCATTGAGGCCAATCCACTGGTAGTCATGCCCAATACCTAAGGAACCAGAGGGATGTTTTTATTAACTTTCCCATAAATGGGAAGAGATTTCACCAAAGAAAATAAAAAGAATTTGCACAGAATGAATCAGACATCCTGTTCTTAAGATTCTTCTACTCATTACGCAAACAACTATTTACAGGCAATTTTTCAGCTTTTCAGTTTTCATTTGGGATGTCTATAAAAATGTGGATTCTCATCTAACAGTTTTAAACAATCCTGTCTCTTCCCTCCTGACAATGTCTCCCAAAGAAAACAGATTAGTTTCCTGAGCGCATATTAGGGGGAGAAAAAAAACGCAAAAAAGTTTAGCATAATAAAAGTATGTATTTTAATCTACATTTTTCAGTTTTTGGTTAGGTTGTGATCCTAGATTGCACAACACAACAAGCAGGAACTATATCTTTATGCCTACCTAATATAACATGTGATGATGTGGTTGTTGATGTCAGGTGCACAAAAAATCTAAAGTCTCCAGAAAAAAATGTTTCATGTTTCCAATGCCGAAACAATAGTTCCTGTTCTCTTCCTCAAAAACAAAGTATTTTCTATGTAATAAATAATAACTTAATAGTAATAGGGAGCTTGCATGAACTGCAAAAGTAAACATGAAGAACACAAAGTGTGCCTTGTAAACATTCTAAAAGTGTTTTTTAAGATGGAGATGTAAAAGCTGAGTGATCAGAAGAATATTTCAATAGCTCTGAATTCTCAGTGCCTGCTCTTGTTTAGAGGAATCCTAACAGTACATACGGTTCACAAAGATCTGCTCCTCATGAGACAAGATGCTTGTCAAATGTGCTCCTTGGAGACGGCATTCCCTTTCAGCCGTGTCCCATGTACGCCGATGGGCAAAGTATTTGTAGCACTGTCCTTGGAACTTGTGCCAGCCATAATCGCATGTCTCCGTGTCTGTGACAAACAAATAAATGACATCTGTGTCAATGGGTGTGAAACACAGGCATGCTTCATGCAAGCGGATGGATTTTCTGGAGGGCAGAGGTTCAAGAAGATACCGACTCATTAAGTAGCACAAATGAGAACAACCAATGCTCATCTTTGAGACCTCATTATATTTTCAGATAGTTCTGTTTACTCGGTTTCAGTACAAGCTTCAAGAATTATTAATTATGTAAGGTGTGTAATTGTAACTGGCAACTTTGTGAGCTTCCACATATCAAATTGTGCTGTATCTGGACAATCTCAGGAGAACATCTTCAGACCATAACTCTGGATAAGTGAAATGCCTGGATGTTGGACTGCAGTTAGTCTACATTTCATCTGAGTTTTTTGAATCTGTATATAGGGACAGGAATTTTTACTTGCAAGGGCAAAGAGTTCTTTGAGTGACTGTACTGGATTACCTTGGGTTGGAAGAAACTGGTAAGTGAATATAATATGAAGGAAAGTACTTGTGATTGTTCATCCACAGATGCAAAGCTGCAGTATTATCTTTCTAAACTTACCCCTCCAAATCCTCCTCCAAAACCCACCTTCCTTTACAAAGTCTAACTTAATAATCTTTGGGCATCAGTTTCCAAGGAAGGCTGTAAAGCTGAAAAACAAAGTAATGAAATGCACATTGCCTGTGCTTGTATGAGGGATGGTACTGGTCAGAATGCATAATAGACAGAATTTCACATTGGCCAGTATATTCTTTCATCTAAAGAGAAATAAACATAAGCCTTGGAACAGTAACAATCCATGGATATGACGTTAATTATTTTCTCAAGGTTAGGCAGGTGTAAACCGAATAGATGGCAAGAAACAACAAAGTTCCGGTTCCAAGTTCCAACACTGCAGGAATGAATCACAGGCAAATATCAGTGTTAATAAGATGGACATGACAAATATGATGCTTGAATGTGTGTGAGCTGTGCTTGATGATAAGAAGAACTTGCTGCTGAGAAGAGGCAGATTTAGGGAGGAATGGAAGAAACAGTAGGGAAAACTCAGACCGTTTTGAGTTATGGCAGATGAAATGGCATCATAAAGGACAAGATTACAGCTTGTTCTGACTACAGATGGTTCCAGCTATCTCAGTACATGATGGCTCACCCTGAAGGGCCTCAGTTGCAGGATGCTGAAGAACAGAAACAAAGTTTGGCCTTCCCCACCCACCAAACAGGAATTTGCCACTTCCCACCAAGTTTTATCAAGCCCCAACCAAAACTGTGCCTGAAAGCAACTGTCTGGCCTTTCCAGAGGTATAGATATGTTCTGGGTATGAAACCGGATTTCTTGTTTCAGTAAGTTAATACAGTCGATAGTCAACAACACGTTTTGGCCAGAGGGGCTTTTTTTTTTTTGCATTAGTACAAAAAAAGTCAAATACTACAGAATATGCCAACAACATATGACTACAAATTCTTTAGCTATGATATTTCTCAGAATTGAGCAACTACCGCCTGAAAGACAATTGTGGCATAATTTTTTCACAACATAAGGCAGGTTTTTAATTCATAGCAGGAAGAGGCCATTCTCACCCTGAAGCATCAAAGTCTGGGTTTTTTTAAGTTTTTCAGTCTCCCAAGATAAAAACTAGACTTTAGATGTACAAAAATGGATTAGAGAATGCAAACATATCACTTTGGAGGCTTACCAGAATTTATCTGACAGTTCTTGCAACATTTACACAGTAGTCATTGTCTTGGGAGTCTGGTATCGAATTTTCTAAAAGTCATTAGTACAGACATAAATGTACCAAATGCAAAGACATAATAGAACTTACACTGATTATCTCTCTTCTGTTTTCAACAAGTTAAGCTGTAGAAACTACTTGTGCCTTGAGTAATCCCAGTTATGAAAAAGGAGTGTAATCTTTACTAGCAACTTGTCAGTTTTTTATCTTTTCCCTCTTTGTATTCTGTATGAGGTGCAGGCTGCAAATACAGCTTCACGCTCTGGCATCTAGGCCATTTTAAAGTTTAGTCTGCCTTTGGCTTTCTAGAACATTTGTTTAACCACACGATGCTGATGATGCTGATTAACAGTACTATGCCCTTTGTGAAGACACTTAAGATTTTATTATTCATCAGTTCAGGGACTCCCTTGTCCCACCGGAAAGAAGTCAGATAATAACAAGCAGCATTGCACGCTGAGAAAACCATGGTCAGAGAGCATTTTCAGGCTACTGTAAGCAAGCCTTCCCTGGCCTCTAATAGAGAAGAAGTGCATGATTCAAGAGATCTGCTGAAAGGCACACGGGGGAGGCAAAGAGGCTTGAAAACACAAAACTTAGAAGTCTGGTTCCAAAGAATGAGATATGGTGGCATCAGCATGAATCATAAATAACAAAATTCCTCTTCTTAAGATAGAGATACCAAACAGTGACATTGGTACCCTTAGTTAAAATGCATGCACTGCAGTGCACATACAACTCCTCCCTCCTATTCCAAATGGCATATTGTTTTCCAGAAGGGAAAAGTTGGATAAATTCTTCAACACCTGTTTGTAGCCCAAAACTACAAAGACAGAAAAAGACAGGGCTGATGGCTATAAAATACATACGATTTTTAGAAAAGTAAGAGCTGTCTTGGTTTTGTTTTGTTTTGGTTGGTTGGTTTGTTGTTTTCAGAGGAGAGGTTGATGAGAAGAGGGGAAAAAGGAATGGGGAAAGAGAGAGTCAGGAGGCTAAAGGATGAAAAATGCAAACCAGGCGAGTAAAAATGTAGGCACTGTTTCATTTCTGCAGTGCTTTGTCCTGACTGTGTATCTTACTGCATTAACAAAGCTGAAAGGGTGACACAAAGGATCCATATGGGTGTAAGTTTTTAATGCCTCTACTGAACCAGTAAATTCTAATTGCAGGTGGCTGTAAATTTTCTGACCTGATCACTTGTGAGCAAAGTAGGTGCAAGCACTTACTGAATACAATACTGCATGTTCATCGTGTACTTACCCAGGGAGGTAATCAAAGATTTCTGTAATCTTATTCCAGAACTTGATGGAAAGACTGAAACATTGTTTGCCATATTTGTGGTGTTTTAAAAGTTGTCTGACTAGTCTTGAGATTTATGTCAATTTACAGGCTTTTTCAGTGATGTGTGCAAGGAGTTACACAGCTTCTATTCTCTGTAACTGCAATTGTCCATGTATAATAACATCTCAAAACACTGCATTAATAAAAAAAAGTTCTCTGTACCTATAGATAGGTACCACTTTTTCAACAGCTGCAATAAGCTGCTGACACTAGGTCCCCCGTCTTTAAAGAATTTCCATTAGAGGCTTAAAGAAAATAAAGACTGAAAAAGACAGGTACTAGAACATAATGAAAGTCTTACTCAGCTGTGAATTTTATCTGTGACTGTCTGCCTTCAGCTAATGAACAAATGCCTGAGGCCCATTAGCCCACACATCTTGAGGAGAAGCCATTTCTCTGGTAAATATTCTAAATAATCCCTTTTCAGCTGAAAGACATCAGTTAGAGACCATCTGTTTTCAGAAAGTATCTTTGCACTGAGTCCTTCTCAAATACTTCCATTCCAGGCTACCAACCCCTGGGAACAAAGTGAATCAAATTGAGAACGGAGTAATCACAGACATTTGAAAATGAACTTGGGTTATAAAAACCCATTGTTCCTGATATGATGATTAAAAACCCCCATTGTTTTGTTTTCAGAATCTGGAAGAGAACAGCTGGCTGTATTATCCCAAGGAGGTAAGAAACACATATGTGCCATTTTGGCACACAATTCCATGTACGCAGCTGCATTTGGTAAACAGGCTAGACTAGGTGTGCCTGCAGAGCTCCTGCAGCAGATAAAGCCAAACCTTAAGTTTAAAGCAGAAACACCATTCCTTGAAAGCAGGTAGGCATCAGTTGGTATAGCAAAAGGAGAAAAAGAAAAGGAAACTCTAGCCAGTCAAGGAAGGAAGATGAAAATCTAAACAAGTGCTCATCCAGTTCTCATAAAGAATTCTTATTCTTGAAATTGAGGTTCAAATTGCAAGTCTCTACCATTTTTTTGTTTCCCATGCAACTATTCATGAAGTAAAGTACTCCTCACCACAAATAAAGATGTGTAGATAATGCAACAACAACCACAGACTCATACATCGCACTGGTCCCTGGGGATTATTCTCTACAGCTGGTTTCACCAGCCGTGTGTGAGACAGGGTATCAAACAACCCTCCTCTCCTCTTTCCCCAAACATGGAGCTTGCAAAGCAATGCTTCAGGCAGCAAAACTGTGAGGATCTGAGCTCTGGACTCATTTGTCTGGACACCAAGAGCTCTCATAACAGCTTTTCACAGGGGCATGACAATGGAAAGACTGATGGCTCCCCCAGGATAAGACTTGCATCAAGATCTGCTCTAGCCTGCAGTTACCCTTTGAAAAAGTGTTTTTGGGATATTTCTGCATTTTAAGATGTGATCTTCAAATGTCACCAAGTGGCTTGCAGAACATGCATCTGTACTTTGAAAAGAAACGTGGTGGGCAAAAGAGAGTATTCTCTAACAGAGCTACTCCACTCAATTTTAATCTAGTCTGAACCAGAAGTGATGCTGGCTAACTGTGCTACCAATCTAGTTTAAAAAGGAAACACCCTCAGCTGCTCTATTTGAACATCAGACTTTATCTATCTTCAGGAAGGAGTTCCTGGGCTCAGATTGTCTGCTGAACTGTTTCCACCTGGCAAGAAAAGCAGCTGTCAGAGCCAGTTACAGTTCACTGACTATCAGGGTTGATTTCCCTCACCCTAGGTTAGGCCACCCTGAAGGCCTCCCTATCTTCAACCACCTGCTGGAGCTCCCTGATGTGCAGCTGCACCGATCTCTGGTCACATCCTCTCCTAACGCTGACACGGGTGTAATACATCAGCCGAAGATCCCTTAGTCTAGAAAAGTCTCATAGGGGCATTTGGGTGAAACTCTGAGCTCTATGTTTCTTCTACACCCCATGTGTCATGGGGCCAGGACGTGGTGGAGTTGTCTACTACTTTGAGCTTCATTTCCAGAGGTAATGCATTCTTGCTGCTTCCATTCCCTTCCACGACATTTTGAATACTCAGTGCCGTGCCTAAGAAAGCCCATCAGCTTGACTTTTTTCTAAGCTTTCTAAAATGGATAGTATATATTGGAGAAAAAAAGTAGAGTAATGAAATATAATCTCAGTGCGCTCAACTCCACCTATCCTGTGGCACCAAGGTACACATTCTGTCGTTTTGGCTGGTCTTTAAATCTAGTGAGGTCAGGACTGGTGCCTTGAAATAAAGCCTGTTTGCCAGACAACCGTGTCTGAATTGCCAACACAGTATTATTTTGTCTGGTGGAGTGGAAATTTGGCACTAAATGCTTTTCCCAAGTCCCAAACCACTGCAGGACTTTAAGTGGAGGAAATTTAAATTCCAAAGCTGAGTGAGCAGGGCTCTGGTTCTGATTGACAAACTAGGAAATGTTCCCATTAACCACCTAAAATGCTCTCTCAGGTTGGTCATAAAAAACAGCTTAAAGCTACCATGGTACTCAGAGCCGCTTGCTACTATGGATTTGCTGGAACGAAGGGGAGGAGGAAAGGAGAGAGAACGTATTTTTCTTCTGTTGTGAAAACACTGTCAACTTATAATTTTGGAGAACAGATTCAGAAAGTCCTTTGAAATTGCAAGGTTAGCCAGGCTACTGAAAAAGTTAGTGAAAAGTGCTGTGCTAGAGCTGGTCAGCTTGGAGAGTTTTCAGCTCTAACAAAAAAAATCTCTATAGGCTGAGCTGAAAGAGTTTGCAAACTACCTTTCACTGAGGATGAGAAACAAACAAGAAAACACAAAATATTTATTAAACAAATCCAAAGGTCTAGTTCATTCATCTGTGACCAAAACCATTCAGCTGAAAAAAAAGAGAAAAGCATTTTCATAAGCTTTAGAAAGTACACTCTAAAACACCATTTCTTTTTTCCCATGGAAATGCCTTCATTAATTTTACTGACAGAACAGATTTTGCTACTCTATTCTAGTGACAGGACAAGGGTTAACAGTTCCAAACTGAAAGAGGGTATATTAGATTAGATGTAAGGAAGAAATTCGTCACTGTGAGGGTGGTGAGACACTGCAACAGGCTGCCCAGAGCAGCTGTGGCTGCCCCATCCCTGGCAGTGTTCAAGGCCAGGTTGGATGGGGCTTGGAGCAACCTGGTCTAGTGGAAGGTGTCCCTGCCCATAGCAAGGAGGTTGGAACTAGATGATCTTTAAGGCCAAACCATTCCCTGGTACCTCCTCCTACATGCACATATTGAGTAAGCATCTTGCATTGTAAATGTTTCTTGTAAATACAGTGGGATTTCTCGCAGGCAGTGTTCTAATAATTGCAGAGACTTGGATGCTTAATCTGATTTCAGTTGTCCAGTTTAGAAAGCCTTTTACAACTTCCTTTTAGTTGTGATCCTGTACCTACTTTTCCTAAAATGATCACAGAACAAATCAGTTTGAAAATTCTGGGATGAAGTTGCTGAGGCTGTGATCCCCAGGGGATGGATATATAATCTGTCATATTCAGTAGACTATTCTTGCTTTCCAGTGATGCTTGTTGGAAGTAATGGGTTCTGATATGGCTTTCACACTGTATATAATTTTTTAAGACAGAATCTCGGTCAGAGGGTAACACTGTTCCCAATTGTTGTCCCATAAGCACCATTATAGTAGTGAGCGAACCTCATTATGTGTCTTCCCAGTACTTTGCAAGCCAATATAAGCAGGCTGTGCTTGCCTTGGAGCCACCTGAAAACTGTACAGCTGTTGTTATTTTGACACAGAAACTGCCCAGTATATCAGTTTATATTCAGTACAGCAGTAACGTGACTTCCAGTCATGTTATCATGTGGATAGAGCTTGCTGTCATCCCTCTTCAAAAGATGGTGCAGATGTAACCTTAAACGAAGTCCTGAGCCACAAACCATGCTAGCCCAACACATTCAAAAATTATAGTCTCTCCTTATCACTGACGATTTCCCATAGATTTTGACAGTTTCTTCCCTCTTCTTGTTTTTAGGAGGCTTTGCCTAGTTATTCCAGAAGGGTGTTGAAACGTAAACAGATGACCTGGATCACCATAGATTAAGGAATACTCCTTACCTTGTTCACAGAGAGCACCTATATAGCTTGGCAGACAGAGGCAAGTAAAGGTATTGAGGCCATCTATGCATGTGGCTCCATTCCGGCATGGGTTAGACTGGCATTCATCGATATCTACAACATAAAGATAAAAGTGTTTTTATAATCCACCCGTGTCCTAGAAGGGAAATGTTCTTCAGCCTTAGTCATACTTATTACTAGCACTGGTTCAATCCAGAAGAATGAAGTAATGCAAAAGATCCAAGTGACCAGTTTATTTGCATGATAACTGATTTCACTATGCACAAACTTTTTTTCTCTTCATCCAGAAGCCAAGAAGCAGTTTCCTCAGGAAATGTGACATTACTGATCCACAATTTTCTATGCTGCACTATGACTCCTGAGTTAATTTCTAAAGTCTAGACCTTCAATTCCTCATTGTGAGAAATAAGCAATGCTGTGCAGTGTGTAGTATTTTCCTGCACTGGTGGAAAATTTGAGTTGTGTGACCATGGCACAAAAAATTCTCATCAAGTACTGCAGACCTCAAATATCTTCATGAATCTCAAATACTGGAAATCTTACCATGTACCATCAGGCAGACTGCTAATTTCAGTCTGCAAAGCAGCAAGCCCTGGCATTTTATTGGTTTGCATTTCTCATTTCTTCCTTGTGTAATCTTATCACCATAAAGACAAAGCATCATAAAGACAATCTCACTAAATAATTGATCGGGTAGTAACATTCATAGTCATGCACAGGTTTACTGCTGAGCCTATGGCTCTAGAGTAAACAAGTTAACATTTCTCTCCCCCACTCTTCTGGCTGATAAATTACCTTGTCTTCACCTTTTAAATTGGAGCACTAGTTAATTTAATATAATTACTTTGTGCATTTATTTGCATAGGTTCTAAGCTAACATGTCTCTTTATAAAGATCATATGGTGTTTTCTAACATGTGCTGTTCTTCCAAAACAGCCACAGCTTAAACATCAACGCAGATATTGCAAACATCTTAGTCCAAAGTGAACTGCTGACAGTGGCTGACTATTAAAATATAAGAGAGGAGATAAACCTATCTACAAACCAACAAACAGTTGTGCCATCCCAGGAATAATTGCTACATCATGTGAAAGGGCTTTTTTTAAACAATACTTTTATTTAAAAAAAACTACTTCTGTTCAAATATTGGGTCTTATTGTGTCAGTCATGTGGAAAGCTCTCAAGTCAACGTTTTATGCCTTGTATTCTGAATATCCCTGAATCACAAGTCAACATTTTACGCCTTATATCCAGAATATCCCTGATAAGTAAACCTCAGGGTTTATTTTCTTAAGCACCACAGATCACATTTCTCCATGGTGACTGGCCACGGAGTGTCCCACTCCAAGTCATTAATAAGCCACAAAGAAGTGGCCAGATAATTCTTTTATAATCTAAAGAAAAAAAGGAGAAAATAATTGTCTCTGACCTCTGGTTTGCAACCAGGGGTCGCCATATTCTTTCACAAAGAATAAAAAGGTTTAGGATGCAACATCTAAAACTTGGTATCTACCATCAACAACCAACTAGGGAACTAGCAATCTCCAACATGAGCTAGGAAAGCAGAGAAAAACACTAGCTAATTATTTCTTTATTCACATACTGTCTTGCAGAACACAAATAAAACCATAGTAATCCTGATAATTATGCTGCACTGATACCAAACTTTGGGTGGGTTTGTGTTTTTTTTTCTCCCAAGCTATGTATGATGAGTTGAAACCGTTTTAGCAACATTGCATGAGTGTTTTTCTTTTGAATTTGGCAGGCAACTGTATAACAGGCAAATCCGTAGTATTTATCAGGGAATGAAACTTAAGACTTTTCAAAAGCCTAAACCAGCTCTACACTAAACAGCCGAAATACTACTTTTATTGTACTTTGACTTGCTTGTTGGAAGGAAAAGCTGGTAATTCTGAACTGTACTGGTGAGTCTCTTGAAACCAGCAGTCATAGCAGGTAAACAGAAGTCACAGGCAGCTGAAAGAGGTCCTCAGCTATAAGAGTTAGCAAAATACTAATCTATAACAAAGATGTATATGATTATGATCATATTTATAATTTTCTTGAAAAAATATCAAGCTAGCATCCAGTGCTCAACTTCCCAGTCACATTTGGGATTAGTTTATTTTACTACCCTTTCAAATAATTACGCAAAACCTTTAAGGACTATTCCAAATATAATGTTTATTTGGTTTTATTTGATGGATTTAATGTTATGAATTCTATGTCAAGTAACTAATTTACAATTCTTTTATATCTGTGTGTGTACACATCTCTGCACTTCGTGAGGAGAAAGAAAAGGGGTAAGTGGACCTCCTTCATTTTATTGTTCTCTTCTTAAGTAAGGCCTCACTGTAGAATTTTTCAAAAGTCTATGTATTCTTCAAAACACACCACTTCTGCAGATCTCATGTATGAAAACTTTATACTTGACTTAATCAGTATCTAGTTGGCATCAGCTTACCTAATTCACACTGCTCACCGTTGAAACCTGGCAAACATGTACAGATGTAAAATGAACCACGTGGATAGCAGGTACCACCATTAAGGCAGGGATTGCTTTTGCATGGATCTTGGCCTGTTAAACAAGTAGAAAAAGAAAATTGAGTCTAGTTTCAAGGAACTGGTGTCTTTTTGATTTTTTGGAAGAAGAAATCTTCCTTCATTTCTGCTCTGATATTGCAGGCTTTACTGTTGTTACAGAAACTCTATTAACATAATAGATTACTGAAAATAAGATAGTTTTGTAAAACAGTAAATCTTATTTTCAGACATCACTATTTCAACTTTAACAACAAAATGGCATTTAATATGAACCAGTATAAATAATTTTCAGAATTACATTTTTTTGTAGCAATTTGTACTATACTTGGCAGTCATGATACTCTATTAAGGATTTAGTTTGCATGACATGACAATTATAGCTGAAAACAGTTAAATGTATGCAAAATGAATGGAAAATGCTTTTCTTTTTGAACAGGGTTAGTTTATGTAGAATGATTGGGTACACAGAACATACTGGCTGGCTGCTACTGTTTCACTTTGTTATATTTAATCAATCAATGCCCACAAGGTCGTATTTCTTTGAAAGGATGTTTTCATACAGAGATATTTCCCATCTTTCTTTCTTTAAAAATACATTTCAAGAATACAAAGAAAGGTACTGAACACATCATGAATAAACTAAACATTAAAATAAAAGCTTACCTGCTGTGAAATCCTCAGTCATTACTGGAGTTATCATTTAAATAGCTTTTCCTTGCAGACCTTTATGCCTTCTAGTGATGTTTATTTCAACTGAGTTTAGATACCTAGATATTTGCATTTGATTTAATGCCTAGGAAGAATCACTCATACAAACAACTGCACACTAGGTAACCATTTCTAAGTATAGTTTTAGAGCTAGAGGAAAATAATGAAGACAGTCCTTCTGGGATACAATAAGACCTGGCTTTGAAAATTTACAAAATGGGTGAAAGAGTTCTGTAATCTAAGTTAATTCAGAGACCTAAGAAACGTTTAGATTTTTAGTTACGTTTTTCCAAAACAATCTGACTATGGTTTATGAAATAAAAGTAGAGTAATATCTATTTTGCCCTTGCAAGCTAGACATTCAAAGAAGTCTTCCTGAAGTACCAAGTTCCCTACCTAGTCACTGGGAGGCAGAAGGTTCAGTTGAAAGCCTCCAGACAAAAAGCCCATCTATATAAGTTCGGATTGTAATTAAGTGGGCAGGATCTCCACAAAATAGAGTGCTTGTTTTAAGACTGTTTCACTGAAAGTCCCAAATGTAGAGCTATGTTAAGGACCTAATCATGTTTATTTTACGTTTACTGTCTGTTTGTCCTCCTACAGACTGCATATTTTCGCAGTAAACTTTTTCTAATTGACAGCTACCTGGATTATTTGAGGAAAAACAATAGAAAACCCTATAAAATTAAGCAAGTTCAGTTTTTTCCTCAGCTATATCTAGATAAAATATGGATTGAAGTGACCCTACCTGCACCATCTGTTTATTTGGTGAAATGGTGCCTAATAAGCATCACGTAAAACAAAATACTGTGACAAACGATGTCTAACAAAAAGATTTGCAATTTGTAAGAGACAGACACCCTATCACCCAGTTAAAGCTACAGACAGGCTAAAAATGTGAAGTCTCGCATTTGTCTTGTCTGGAAAGTTACCTTATATGTTAAGAGAAGTTAGTTTTTATAGAAAATTCTGATCCTAAATGCACACTAGATCTGCTTTTAAAGTCAACCACAAGCTGTTCTAAAACAGCCCTACCTATAAACCAATAGTATAAGCACTATCATCATGCCAACACAGAAAAGCTATCAGACAAAATTATCTGTTGGAAATTGGAAAACTAATAATTACAGCTGAATTATCTACCACAAACAATGTTACCTTCCTGTCTTTTAGAAATTGCTGGTCACCTCAAGTCTGATCCTGAGCTCCATGATGCAAACAGGATAAGTCACTGAGCTTGAGTTTTGATACCCCCATCATCCTTCATTTTGTAGGGTATTTCACAGCTCGAGGCTCACAAGTTCTGTTGTAATTTTGCACAGTGGTCTGGTTGTCACACCTCTTATCAGAGTTAATACACACATTTACAAGTATCACAACAAACATATACGACAGTGATCATATTTGGAAGTTACCTGGAATTTGCACTGCTGTGCCTTCAACTGAACCCACACTGGTGCCAATCTGGAAATCTGATCCATTAGTAACTTCCGGCAGGGAAAATGATGAAGTTATAAGTTCAATAGTATTTGGTTCCTCAGAGCTTATCATTGACTGCTCAGTTTGATACAGACTGTTTCCAGGGGCAGTGCTAGTTGTTGCAATGTTAGAAGAAATTGTTGTGATCTCCTCTTGATCAAAGAAAGCTGATAGTGTTTCTGTGCTTCTATCCAAAGGTTGTGAGGATGAAGCTAGCATTGTAACTGCTTCCTGGTCAGGTTTAAATACTTCAGTTTCAATACTATTGGGTGAATCTGAAACAGGTGTAGAAAAAAGCCATGGTATCTCTCCCTCAGTACTCCTGTCATCTTCTTGACGGGGGTTGTTCACTCTCTCTGAGGAAGCTTCAACTTTTATTGTGCTAACTTTCGGAATATCTGTGCTCGCTCTTTCTCCAAAATTCAGAAAAGCAGTAGGCAAGATATGTATTGATGGAGAATCTCCAGAAACAGTAGCTTCTTCCTCAATAGCCAAATCAGTTACAGAGGTTTCTGGCTCCTCTGTTCGGTCTGTTACAAGTCTATTAAAGTGAGGAGTACTTTCAGTAGTTGTGCTTTCTGAACTAGGCTTCAGAGAAAACTCCAGCAGAAAAGACTCTGTTCTGTCAAGAAGGTCTGTAGTGGGTGGTTTATATGTTGCTGCAATATCAGAACTAACCTCTTTGAAGGTTCCTTCTGATGAATGATCAGACTGATCTGAATCCTTTGATGATGATGTGCTTGGAATTATTACCTCAGGATAGTCAGATACTCCATTAACTAACTGAACAGTTACTGAGGATTTAGGAGTTTGAGGTACAGAATAAAAGCTCACTGAATCTGTTTCTTCATACTCTACTGATACTGATTTTGTGTTTGTGTATACTGTAGGATGCTTTTCTTCATTTTTGCTAGGTGAAACAGTTGTCAGTTGGGATGAATGCTGTGTGGTGACAATACTTACATCAAGCATGTCAGTTGTCAAACCCCTTTCTGTATCAATAGTTAAAACTGGTGTAAAAGAAGGAACCACAGGCTGCTTATCATCCAGTTCTTCTTGGCCCATTCCTGAAAAGCCAGAGACAGAGATCGTTTCACTTTGACCTGCTATTACTCCACTGTTTGCTGAAGTATTCAGCTTGTAGGTGTCTTCTGTTGTGCTAGTAACAACATATTTAGACTCATGAGGCACACGAGGGCTTGTCAGTGATGGCACTGTAGGAAGGAAAATGCCCAGTTCAGAGAGTTTGGTAGTGATGTGAGTTTCTGTTGCAAACTTCATGGCATTGCCTGAACCCAAATCTTTGTCATCTGATTTTGGTCCGCGCCCACCTGTTACTGATTCACTACTTGGCTGACTGGAAGTAGTCAAAGAAAGACTATCACCAGATCCTAATGTCTTCTCTTTGGTTATGGAAAATTTAGGTGTTGAATCATATTTCTCCCCTTCAGCTGTCATGTTATCATCACTGCCATATGTTGAGTGTATGACAGGATTTGGCAAGGTCTGCACACTTATTATATCTTCAGGCATTGATTTTGAGTGATCCATGTCTATAATAGTTGTTTCTTCCGACGGGATTTGAAGTCGTTCTTCAATTAGTGTAATATCACCATAAACAGAAACATTCAACACAACACCTCTTTTATCATCAATCATGGGAATAATTTTCTCATATATCCCAGTATCACTTGTTAGTTCTTCTGATGTAGCTGTCTTTGGTTGAACAGCAGCTGGACTTGCCATGATCTCTTTTTCTTCTGTAAAAAGGGATGGTACTCCTGTGACTACAGTCTGTGATCCATCTGTCAGTGCCTCTGTTGTCATAACTTCAGAATAAATTTCCCCAGGTACACTAGATGAAGCATTTACTTCTACTTTTGACCCAGCAGATATTGACAAATGAGTAAACATATCAGGAGAAGATGAATCCAAAACACCAACCCAGCCAGATCCTTCTCCAGAGCTTTCAGGTAACACTTTGCCTGGAATTTTTGTTGTTGATGTTACAAGTGATTCTTGTGTTTTAAGATTAGGAGTTCTACTCAGTATTACGGAAACAGGAGTTATGCCATCTTTACTCAGCAAATGTGAAGATTCCTTTTGAGAAACAGCTTTAGAAGTAGCTGTTGTCCTATCTCTTTCGTTTTCTCCTCTTGTATAGTTAATTTCCTTATTGTGAGGTTCCTGAATTGCAACAAAATAATGCATTGTCTCTTTAACCTCAGTAGAGCTGAAGCCCTTAGAACGCTCTCTTACTAAAGCTGGGGAACTGGTGGTCACTGAGCTGGGGAACTGGTCTTCTGTTTCTGACAGGAGCTCAGTTACAGCACTTGTAACTTCTTCATTAACTTCAGCGTTTGATTCAGTGCTTCCTCTTTCAAAGTCTTGTGTCTTGTCAGTTGAAAGTTTGGGTCCCATATTTGCAGGATAAGACGTTTCAGGACTTGAAGTACTCATGATTTCATTGATAGCCAATGGCACTACAGAAGGAATAACAACAAGGCTGTCTCCTGATCCTTGTCCTGAAAAGAATGGATCACCAATGAGCTCATCATCTGTTAGCTTTTCTTCTTTAGGTG